TCAGTGCTGCCAGCAGCTACCCTTACTGACTTATGATACATTCCACTGATGTGTGAATGAAACACCATAAATTAAGATTTTCTCTCATTACCACTGTTTCTGCACACTCAAAGGGAGCAGCAAATTCACATGCATCTCCCACAAAGCGCCAAAACTCCGGCCACATAAAACAGAACCTCAAGTTCCAACCTACTTGATGACTTTGGCTTACACTGGGTTGTTTCACTTACTCTTTCAAAGAACAGTAGCACCTTCAGTAGTTTCCCCCCCCCTTTACCTAGATTAAAGGCCATCTCAGACTACATTCTGTGCTCTTCATGCATTTGCCCTACCACTCACCTCTGCCTTTCAAAATATCTACAGATAAGCGCAGACTCCATTCCTTGAGATCTGAGCTTAGTGTAGACAAATTAAGGTTCAAGCATACTACTGAGATGTCACACAAAAAACCTGTGGCAGACCAAGACAGTATTTCAACTTTATGTAAAAGTTTTTTGTGCTTGAATCCACTCTACCCTTCAGCATCCTCACAACAGTCCCAGGCATTCGAAATTTGCAGGAAAGTTGAACTAGTATTGTGCTTGAAAAATCCATTACTTCACACGTTCCACTGTGGTATTTTATCAAGCATTTCATTAAGTCCTTCTCACACACTTCAAAGTATTCAGAAGTTCAGCAGCTAATCTGAGAAAGATCAGAGAAAGGAGTGTGAAAATTGAAATTCCAACTTTAAGGAAAAAAGACGAGAGATCATGAATAACCATGTACTTTATTAGGACACCTGTTCCTTTCAGCTCCACGCACATGCTGCCATCTATAACATAAGCAAATTATAGCTAGCAACCAGTAATGCTATTGTTGCTGATTTTCAAAAGCTGGAGTTTGTGTGTGGTTTTTTTGTTTAGTGAACAGATTATGCTTTTGTTGCTGGGCTTCCAGTCTTGGATAAAAAAAACTGATATTAATACACCTCAATGCCTGTTACACCTACTTTCTTTTACAGCTGATTCAAACTGGAAAGGTGCATCAGAATGAAAGGTTAATGTTTTATCCTTCTGTTAAATGAAATGGGAAAGAGCCCAAAACCTTTTGCATGTCTGCAGGTATCTGGGACTCCTGAAGTTCTCATCTAGGTTTTGTTTTAAAAACAAAAAACAGAAGCACCACCTATGCAATGCTCTAACACCTTCCCTCTGTTCAGAGTGTAACTGTCTAGTCTGCACCAATCAGAATTTCAGGCTGTGCCAGGCAGATCTGAACATATCAAACGTACCATTTAATTAATTAAGCATCAGAGGGGTGAGCAGTTTTTAAAATAACAAGGACAAGAGTGGACTTACAGGCTAAAAGATAAAACAGTACCTGTTACATCAAGACCTTCATGCTACCAACAGGTTAAGTAAACCAGATACTTTGGCAGAACTACAGAAAATAAAGGGACATATGCAGGGTACAGGGAGAAGAGGTTGTGTTTTTACTGAAGTTTTTACTGAACAAAATTAATAACAGGATCTGCACTACTTCTAACAGGATGATTTAAAGCTGCAAGAAATACATTTATGGTGACAGTGAAGAAGAGGGCTCTTCACAACAAACCCTGTATGGATTACACTCCTGCTTCAGAGACCGCGGTCCAAGCTGAAACCATGGACGAAGCCGAGGGAAATGCTGCATGTCAAAGTAGAATGAAACACATCATGGTGGTAAACAGCATTTCCTCTTTAAGATCTTTAAAACAAGAGGAGGTGGGAGACAGGTGTGGAGGAGCTTTCACCTGGAGGAAATCACTCAGACATTTTTACCACTTTAACAGCAAAGGACTGTTTGCTTTCAGGAGAAAGAGGATCAGCTCTCCTCACCTGGCCAAAAGTAACTGCAGGCAGTTAGTTGGGCTGCCTTTAAAAAGATCAAGTTACAATTATTAACCTTTTAAATTCACAGACAACAAGTCCTGTAAAATTTGGCCCTGCTCTGAGAAGCTATGCAAGAGAGAAATAAAAAGGGAAATGCAGGCAGATCTAGAAATTCTCATTAATTGCAGGAAATGAACATATCCTGGAAGGAAACAGCCCAACAAGCACAAAAATGGGGGAGGAATAGCGAACAGACAGCACTTATTTCTGGGACACTCAGACTGCCTTCTAAAGCAAAGTATTTCCTCAACTATAAAAAACAAACAAAAAACCCAACACTGACTTGTTACTCAGCTTTCCACACTTGTGGAGTATTCAGGGCTACTGAAGCAGGGAGAGCAAGTTTTGCACAGATGTTGCAGTAGTTCCACTTCCATTGAGAGAGGTCTCTGATTTTTTGACATGAAAGTCAGCTGCCAGGCACAACCAGTACCTTTCCATTATCAATAACATAGGGCCATTGTAGGAGTAGTTGAAGCACCAGAAAGTATCAGCACGTACACGCAGCACCTTTCTTGGTTTGGTGCATGTTAGACTCTCCTAGTACAAACAAACAGTATGCTCCAATTTCTGTTTTCCTTCCTGGCTCAGTCTTGCAACAGGTTTAATGTTCTGGCCTAATCCAGGGGAATACTTTAACCTCTCATTTAAAGTGTGTAACACTTTTGGATTTGCTCCACTAGGTCAGCACGCTCAATAACTAACACAGTACGGTCCCGCTAAGCTGAACACTACATCCCAATAATCACAGCACAGATATTTTACTAGTCAGACAATTCAGGGGCTATTAATTTCCTCCGCATTGAGCTAGAGCCTTTGGGAAGTCACGAAGCCTCACAGCATCTTTCAGCCCTCTCTGAATTAGAAGCCAGGTATACCACACACATTCAGTATCTGCTGTCATGCAGAACATATCCATCAGACACAGCACACATCATCTGTCACAAAGGACACAAACTTTCAATGAGATTAAAAACTCCCAAATCCAACTGGGGGGATGTGAGGGATAGCATAACATTTTTTGCAGTTGTTAACACAAAACCTGGTTTGTTTCATAGTAGGCATACATCTCCCATACTTGTGTGTCTAAATTATTTGGGGGAAAAAAAGTGTTTCTAATGACCTTTCAGTTGTTTTAGGAAGAGAGTTACGTTATTTAAAAGGGACATTTTATTCCTCACCTTAAACCCAGACTTTAAGTATGTTCTTCAAAAAAAGTGGGATAGCCTGCAACATGCATTTCAACCTCCTTGACAAGCATCTTTAAGTAACTTTCCTGACAAATTCACATGCTAAAACTAAGCCCTGTTTATTCTCACCCAAGACCAGAGACACACACTGTTCCAGACTAGGACTCCTCAGCAAGTATCTTAAACCAGAGAGGTCATTTAGGCTTGAGGTTACCACTGCCTGAATTTTCTGTATTCCAGTATTAACATGCTAATACACTAATAATACACTAACACACTAATACTTCAGTGGGGATGCCACTACTGAAGCTTATTTTGTTCTATGCCATTGCCATAGGCATCCCTAAAACTGGTCCATGCTCATAAAACTGACTCCAGTACCTCAAAACTACTTATCTTCCCAAACTTTGCTGAAGGATCCTTTTGAGGAGTTCCATGACGTTCTGCAGTAAATTCTAACACTTTGGACATCAAAAAAGCAAACCTTGGCATTATACTTGAGTTGTTTCTGCAGAATATTGCTTGAGGGGGGGAAAAAAAAAATCACAGAAAGTGAACAAAAAAGTTCTAGGGGCTGTGATTGTTTTTGCTCGATATACTTGCACTCTGGATTCTCATGTAGTACTTCCTTCAAAAAGAAAAGTCATCCTTACAAGGTGGGCAGAATTAGGATTAAAATTTTTCAAGCAGAAAGAGTTGTAGACCTTCCTCACAGCAGAAAAAGCAGAGCAGCCCAGAGACCTTTCTCCCTCTTTGCAGGTTCTTTAAATTTAAATAATTCTTGTCGTTTCAACTGGCCTAGGCTAGTCTCCTTATACAAGGAGGCTTTAGCAGTCTAGAGTAGTCAGATGCATCCAGAAAGCAGGCTGAAGAATGAAATAATTGATTAAAAACTAGTGAATACAGTAAATAAAACCCAAAGCTCCCCCCCACCTTTTAATGCCTCGTCAGTTGGATTCTCTCAGTTATTCCCCCCTCGCGGTAGGGCCAGGAAGACCTGCCTCAGCTGGAGGACATGAGAACAATCACAAAGACTGATAACAATTATCTCACCTGACATAATTTATTGCTAAATGCCCATAAAGAAGTCAAAGGCAACAGAAGAACGTCCAAAGCATTAACTTTGCTAGCTGTAACTTTAGTAACGTAAAAGCTGTGTCAAGTGCAGGGAGTCAATATTTGCCGAGGGCTCTCTCCCACGTTACCCAACTAACCGCGCTTGGAGCTTCTCCAAAGTCGGGACTCTACCTAAGGAAACGTGAAAAGTAAACAAACGGCCTCGGTTCTACCCGCTCTCCGTGCAAATACACCAGTTCATCAAACAGCAACCGGACTGTTTGGCTTATTGCAGGACATTTTACTGGTTTTCCAAGCCACTTGTAAAGGATACATTAACTTCTAGAAAAGCCATTACAAGCCACGTCCGTACATGTTTCAGCTCCTCGACAGCCTGCCGGGGAACAGGATCCCACCTTTTACTGGGATCTTAGCATTTAGCTGTTGGAAAAGCAGCAACGCTACGTCTCCAGATCCTACAACACGCTGATTTTTTGCAGGTCAACATCAGCATCCTCTTAGCATTTAACGCAGTAAGCCATCAACACGCCGGCTAAGCTAAAGCTACCGAAAAGTTGCAGGCAGATATTTTTAGGTAGCAGCTTTCACAGGTTTGGTTTTGAACAAGTCTCGATCAAAAAGGAGAGTACAGGGAAGAGCTCGGTGCAAACGTGCTCCTCTGAGACCTGCCGAAGGCGAGTTTTCCAACACCGAGCCTCAGCCCGGGCAGTTTAACAGCCCTTCCTCCGTGGGCCGGTGCCCGGGCGTTTCTGCAGGGGAGGAAAGCGCGCAGGGGAGAGCGAGGAGGAGGAGGAGGGAAAGGAACAAAGTGGGACCCAACCTTCGTCCTCAAGGTCTGGTGGATGTCTGCTGCCAGCTCCCCTTTCCACCACTGCTCCTCCATCCTTTTTCTTCCCATCCAGACAAAGCTCTGGGAGAGAGACGGGACCGCTCTGCTGGGAGGGAGAACAAACCGGACAAGTCTCCCGAAGCCCCGCGGCTGTTTCCGCCGGCCCTCCCCG